AACCAGGACTAAACCAGGACTGAACCAGGACTAACCCAGGACTGAACCAGGACTAACCCAGGACTGAATCAGGACTAAACCAGGACTAACCCAGGACTGAATCAGGACTAACCCAGGACTGAACCAGGACTAAACCAGGACTGAACCAGGACTAACCCAGGACTGAACCAGGACTAACCCAGGACTGAACCAGGATTGTACCAGGACTAAACCAGGACTAACCCAGGACTGAACCAGGACTAACCCAGGACTGAATCAGGACTAACCCAGGACTGAACCAGGACTAACCCAGGACTGAATCAGGACTAACCCAGGACTGAACCAGGATTGAACCAGGACTAAACCAGGACTAAACCAGGACTAACCCAGGACTGAACCAGGACTAACCCAGGACTGAATCAGGACTAACCCAGGACTGAACCAGGACTAAACCAGGACTAACCCAGGATTGTACCAGGACTAAACCAGGACTAACCCAGGACTGAACTAGGACTAAAACAGGACTAAACCAGGACTGTACCAGGACTAAACCAAGACTGAACTAGGACTAACCCAGGACTAAACCAGGACTAACCCAGGACTGTACTAGGACTATACCAGGACTAACCCAGGACTGAACTAGGACTAAAACAGGACTAAACCAGGATTGTACCAGGACTAAACCAAGACTGAACTAGGACTAACCCAGGACTGTACTAGGACTATACCAGGACTAACCCAGGACTGAATCAGGACTAAACCAGGATTAACCCAGGACTGTACCAGGACTAAACCAAGACTGAACTAGGACTAAAACAGGACTAAACCAGGACTAACCCAGGACGGTACCAGGACTAAACCAAGACTGAACTAGGACTAAAACAGGACTAAACCAGGACTGTACCAGGACTAAACCAAGACTGAACTAGGACTAACCCAGTACTAAACCAGGACTGTACCAGGACTAAACCAGGACTAACCCAGGATTGTACCAGGACTAAACCAAGACTGAACTAGGACTAAAACAGGACTAACCCAGGACTGTACCAGGACTAAACCAAGACTGAACTAGGACTAAAACAGGACTAAACCAGGACTAAACCAGAACTGAACCAGGACTCACTGTCAGGCAACTATTTGCCCGTACCCAACCCAGTGCAGGACTCTTTGACCGCTCCCCCAGCTCTATTTTATTTTAATTTTTTGGGGGCAAATAATAACACATCTGCATCTTGTATTTTGTTGATTTTTTTCAATAAAAAAACAAGTGCAATCAGAGACGTCAACCTGGTCCCCGTGAGGCGTCGGTGTTTCAGTTCATCATCACAGAAGCAGTTTATAAGGAGTCCAGCCCATATCACATGATCATTATATCCACAATACAATGTGTGTATGTGCACAGGCCCATGAACATGTGTGTGATGTTGGTCACACATGAGAATGTCTGTGTTTACAAGTGTGGAACCAAAATGTCATTGTTCATGAGTTGTGTGTGTGTTAGTTGTGTGACTGTAGATCAGTGTGTTGTGTCTCACCAGAAAAACAAGAAATAGAAATTATTTTTGTTTCAATTAGAATTTTAAGGGCTACACTGAAAGAGAAAGGAACTGTTATAATGATAGTGATTATCTGGAAAACTATGAATATTTGACTCTACAAATGCATAGAATTATAAACTGATAATTTTTCTGAGATTTTGAGACACTCCCGTTGCTCGAGCTCGATCCTTCGCGGAGTTATGACCAAAAACGCATATTTGACCTTGGTGACCTTGACCGGTTTGAACCAGTAACATCCAGTGTGCCCCGGTGATGTGTGTGCCAACTTGTGTGATGATTGGGTGAATATTTTAGGCCGCAGATGGTTCAGAAATTGCCGATCCTTTATAACGGCGTGACCCTTCAATTGACCCGTGTGACCTCAAATGACCTCGGATTGTCACCAAACTTTTTTTGCGGCATCGGGCACGAGGGCTTGACCAACTTACCAAATTTGGTGACAGTCGGTCCATAGATGGCGGAATTATCGTGGATGGACACACACACACACACACACAAAACCTGGTCAACCCTTCGGGGACCAGGTAATTATATTTATATGAAGTATTTCTATTTTTATTTAAATAATGACATGAATTTTCATCACCTGACAAGCTCAAGATCGAACAGCGACAGTCAACACATGCGCAGAGTTTTGTAGTGCAGTTAAGGACAGAAAAATGACTCATGTTAAAGTTCAAAAAGTTGACAGAGAGCGCTGAGTTTTCAAAGACCAGTGGACGAGCGATTGTTCTTTTGTTCAGCGTAAAGGACCGTGCACTTTGTCTGATATGTAAAGAAAGTGCAGTGGTTTTCTAAGAATATAATCTGTGTCGTCAGGGTCAAACATTTCCATTATACGGCGCCGACCATCACGGTCAGGAGAAATGATGTGGCCCCCAGAGAGAAAAAAAAAAGTTTGGTGACCTCCGGTTTAGGTGATGAAAAGATTAAATCCAAAAGCGCTTTTTAACTTTCACTGCCACAGGAGCACAAACGCCGCACTAAGAAGCAAAACCATTTACATTTAACGGTGTATTGGAGCTCTGGGTGAAGGCTGCAGGCTCCGGGGCTCCGTAACGCTTCAATTCAAAGATAAAACTGACTGAAATAAGGAGCCTGCCCTCTCAGAATATAACGACGAGACACACAAAGAGCCACTGTGTGATCTGGATGCTTAAAGAGGAGATATTTTACTTTCATGGCGTATTAACTGCTAACACTGCTCCTGGTGAGGTGCCCCAGCGGCATTAAAGGGACAGTCAGGAATTTTGGACATAGGACCTCATTTCCTCGTGAGCCAGAGAGTTGGAGACGTGTGGAGACACTTTTTAAAATATTCCATCCAGTCCTTGTATTTGCAGAGTCGCTGGTGTTAGACTAGTGCATGTCAATGGTCATAGTTTATCCTGCCACTAAAAACAGTCTTACCCACTCCACAAAACACCTGAAGAAAATCTATTATCACACCAAACTGTCCAAGTGAATGTCTGTGTCGACAGAATAATGTTTGAAATAAAACTAACCTTTGTTTTATTATATCAGAAGTGTGGCAGAGGTGGGACCAGGTCATTGTTTTGCAAGTCTCAAGTCTGTGAGCTCAAGTCCGAGTCAAGTCCCGAGTCAGATACAGGCAAGAACAAGTCGAGTCTCGAGTCACTGGCCCATAAATCCAAGTCAAGTCCAAGTCGTCTGCTTTGAGCTTCAAGTCATTTCAAGTATTTAAACCAAAGTTGCAATTTATATGAAGTTTAAAGTAAATTGTACTTAAAAAGTAGTGGTATATTTATACATGAGTATTTATATAAGAGTTGTAGAAATGCATTTTTTTTTCTTTTTTAAATGTTTTGACAAGATCTTAGTGTGAATCATTACAGCCAGAATAGAAATAATTCAGATTTCAAAGTGCTTAATAACAGTTCTTTTGTTATGAAGGATCATGTTTTCTGTTGTTCCCTCTGTTTTACTGCATTGAACTGTACATTACTAATTAATTAATAATTGCATTTTATATAGCGCCTTTCAAGACACCCAAAGCATTTTACACTTCATTATTCATTCACTCAAAAGGTGGTAAACTACTACTGTAGCCACAGCTGCCCTGGGGCCAGACTGACAGAAGCAAGACTGCCAATCTGTGCCATCAGCCCCTCCGACCACCACCATCACTCACACACACACACACGCACGCACGCACGCACACACACACACACACACACACACACACACACACACACACACACACACACACACACACACACACACACACACACACACACACACACACACACACACACACACACACACACACCTTTCATTCTAGGCAATGTGGGCCAAGTGTCTTTCCCAAGGACAAAACAACAGTTTTTGCAACCCACTGTGGCTCCTGGAACAAAGGTGGAGTTGTGTCTTCACTTTTTATTCTGTGTTTACACAAGCATTTTTGGGAGAAAATCTGCGTGCATACGGCGACGCAAAAGTGTGCGGAACTGGATTGTGCGTGCATGCCAGATGGCTCAGTGGTGACGTAACGTGTAACATGTAACGTGACGTAAACTTGTCCACCACCTGAGCAGATCTGACCAGAGTTTTGCGTCTTGAGCAGTGTACACGGAAACTCTACGACGGAGCGAATTCAACTTTCCACTCTGGACGATGGTTTCAGATTTTTGCATTTTTAACCCCCAAAAACGCCGTCACCGTCTATAAACAAAAGCCACTTCCGATAAAACCTTTTGTCGTTTTTACCTGCAACCGTTCTCATTGCTCTGTTTTATTTTAAGAACAGCGACTCAAGTGTGACTCAAGTCCAAGTCACAGTTTCTGCATCGTGGGGTCTGAAAGTTAATCCTGGATCAACCTACACTCCCTAAATATTATGACTGCAGGTCTAAAATTGAAATAAAATCCCAAATGTGACCAAGTGGATTGATAATGTTCGATCAAATGTCTTCAGCCTATTCTCACTTTCTTCACGGATACATCTTCTTTATTATCTGGTCTGAATTTGACAGAATTCCCTCGGCATTTCCCATAATAGTCTCTTCCTTTAAACCCCTCGGGACCGCTGCTCTGACAGGCGATAGTTTCTCCCTCCCCATTGGCTGAGGAGCGGAGCGTGAGTCAAACCCGCTCTGCCTCCGCGCTCACACGGACCACAGAGCGCTCGAGGCTCGGGCGCACGGAGCATCTCTCCACGGAGAACTTTACGCACGACGAAAACCATGGAATATCACGCCGTTTTTTTTTTTTACGTTTTTAAACTTTAAGAATTCAACTCAACTCGTGTAACATCTCTGGATTTGTGCGTATTTACTGAGAAAGGACGCGGCTCGTTGGAGATTGGAGATTGGAGATTGTGCCACGTATTTTATTTTTTCTTTAACATTTTGAGACATGGACGCGCGCTGGAGCCGAGCCGTCCGCTGAGTGTCGGTGCGTAAAAAAAAAAAAAAATCGTCTTTGGACACATCGCTGTTGGAAATGACGGATTTCACCAATGGGAGCCAGAGCAGCGCGCGTCGGAGTGACTACGTGTGGCAGTACGAGTACTACGACGACGAGGAGCCCGTGTCGTTCGAGGGGCTGAAGGCGCACAGATGTAAGCGACGAGCGGGTCACTCTTGTACAGTAAAGTTTTGGTGTCAGTAAAACGGGTTTACAACTGCATTTTAAAGATCTTATATTACGCAAAATTGACTCACGTGAGCTTTAAGCCATGTTAGAATGTCAGCATACCCAGAGTCACGCTTTGTTTCATTCGCACGCGTTTGAGTAACTCTTTATTATTAGTCTCTCTACATCTCCAAAGCTCAAAATGCTCTGTTCCACCTTGTGATGTCATGAAATTAATGGCTAATTTTCAACTTTAGTTCAGTAGAGATCGGTAATAAACGTTTTTCACAATGGCTGGAAGTGCTTCGCTTGATTCATCGGCCGGTTTCACTTCGTGGAAACAGTCTGGCCTCGCAGCATTAGGATTCGTTCGCTCGACGGTAGGCAGTACTTTTTTTATTTAACCAATCGCTGCTGTTTGGTCGTGACGTATGTAATGCGCCAAATCCCATAGGACGAAGGACAATAACGTCTTTGCCCTTGATAAAATTCACCAAACATTCTCTTTGTTCCGGCTTTAAATCCTCGATCGCGGGAATCGTTGCCAACACAGAATGTCTGTCTTCGTCTACATCAGGCATGTCCAAACTATGGCCCCTGGGCAAAATGCGGCCCTCAGACAAATTTTTGTTGGCCCTCAGGCTTCTCGGTGAATTGGCCCAAATTACATGGCATCAATTAGAAATTAACTTTTTACTGTAAGTTTTTTGAAAATCTACTTTGATAAAGCTGATATTGAATATTTAGTGTGTGGTTTTAAGGATCTTAGCGTGAATAAAATCGGATGGCTCATTCTAACGTGTTAAACATGCACATATTTAAATTATTCACTGTACTGAGCATCAGTCTACGGCCCTCGATCGGTCCTCTGCTTCGTCTGTGTTTAGATCTGTGGCCCTTGATGAAAAAAGTTTGAACACCCCTGGTCTACATCCATCTCGACGCTTTGTTTACTGTTGTGCTGTTCCACAAAAGCGACACAGACAGAGTTTGACGTCATGACTTCACAGCTCTTCTCTGATTGGTCGGTGCGCGGTCTATGACTTCCCGGGCATCTTGCAAAACCATCTAGTGTATTCTGATTCCTGACCTAGTCGCTGGAGAGAAATGAAATTGAGCGGAGGCACTAGGTGGAACCAGCCTGGCTAGAAATTGCTGCAATGTCGGGTAAACTCGGTAACTCCATTAATCGTTTTCTACGGCGAAATACTGTGGAAACGTCTCGCGGATTTTCCAGCAGCTTCATAAATCTGCCCCATCACCAAATCTTCAACCAACAAGTTCGACAAAGGATAAACATTCTGTCCATGAAGAATTTATCCACAACTATCAAGGTAAGAAAGACAAAAACGTAAAGGCGAACAACGACGACGCTTTAGTGAACGACTGAACAAAACTGGTGTTTATGGTCATAAATAAAACATAAGTAACTTGTGAACTCAGACTGGTTCTAGAATTAAAATTAAAAATCGATTTCATGATGTCGATATTTGTACAAACAGAGATTTGTGTAGTTTAAATGCTCAAAATGTAATTTGTGAACATCTGTAGCATTTGAACTGGACAAATCTATCTGTGCTAATATCTGCTGACCTGATTCATCACCCAGTTTCACTTTGTACAAATTGTCTGACCTTGCAACCTTAGATTTCGTTCGCTCGACGGTAGGCGGGTACTCGGTATATTAAGCTTTTCCCAAATCCCGTCGGAAGAAGGACAATATTGTCTTTCCCCATGATGAAATTCACCAAACATTCTCTTTGTTCCGGCTTTAAATCCTCGATTTCGGGAATCGTTGACAACACAGAATGTTTGTCTCTTCGCTGATTGGCTGGTGCCCGAACTCGCACTGCTGGGATTTTTGTAAACCGTCTAGTGCACAGGTGTCAAACATAAGGCCCGGGGGCCAGATCCGGCCCTCCAAGACCTTTAATCTGGCCCTCAGCTGACTTTCTATTTTAGTAGAAAGTCAGCTGAGGGCCAGATTAAAGGTGTTGTAATTATACTTTCTCTTAAAATCTTGTTAATTTTCTGTGGTGTTTATCACAGCAGCGTCTCCAGCGTCTCTGTACGTGGCCCCTCCCACCAGAGCAGCACAAATGAAGACTTGTCTCTTTCCAAACGCTCTTAAAGGACGATCGTTTTGACTGTTGACCGTGACACCCTCATCAGAAAAATGTCCAACATGAGAAAAGTGGAGCCGAGTGCAGGATTTTACAACAAAAATGGACTTATTCCTGTTTACATACAAGTTCATGTTAAAACTTTGTGTTGAAATTGTATTTTTCCTAAAGTTTCAGGTTGTTCATAATATTATAATATTTTGTAAAAGAAAGAGTTCATCAATTAAAAAAGATTTCTGTAATAGATTTGTGTTTCTCTGCACAAATATTTGAACTTATTGTTATTTTTGGGGTTTATATGACATGAGTTTTCTGATCCGGCCCCTTTGGGATCAAAGTCGTTTGGATACGACCCCCGGAACAAAATGAGTTTGACACCCCTGGTCTAGTGTGTTCTGATTCCTGACCTAGTCGCTGGAGAGAAATGAAATTGAGCAGAGGCATCAGTTGGCTCCGGCCTGGCTAAATATCGACATCATGAAATTGATTTTTAATTTTACAAGTTACTTATTAACGAATCACTCCTTACTTCTGTTTTATTCATGACCATTCACCTTTACGTTTTCGTCTTTCTTCCCTTGATAGTTGCGGATAAATTCTTCATGTTAGAATGTTTATCCTTTGTCGAACTTGTTGGATGAAGATTTGGTGATTTTGGGGCAGATTTACGAAGCTGCTGGAAAATACACGAGACATTTCCACAGACATTTTACCGTAGAAAAGCTTTAACCTGGAGTGACTTTTGTTCTACATCGTGGCACTTCCAGCTGTCGAAAAAGGTCTATTCTGGATTGAAATTGTCCAAGTATCTCTAGAGAAGGTGTACGGAGTTTGACATCGCAGGGTTTAATGTGTGAATGAAACAAAACACGACTCCAGGTCTGTTTGTCATGAGGAAACTACAATATAACTTAGATCAGAAAATATAATATCTGTCCTTAAGTCCTTGTGGAGCTACGTTGTTATTCTCACTATAACATATCTGAAGAGGCGAGTCGCCACTTTTCATCAGATACATTTCATTACAGCATAATAGAATAATAGAATAGAAGTCGATCTTCTTATTCAGACTGAAAATGACTCACTCCTGAACCTCACATGAGTCTCATTTGTTTCTGAGATTTGACGTGAGGCTGGTCCATAAACTGAGACTGAGACAAACTTGGACGTGTCTCTATCTGCAGTTTAGGTCCTGGTAATGCAGATCCAGATGTGATTTGTGGTGGGATGAGACAGAATCTTCATAAGACGGGATGAGATGTGTGACGGGGTCCACGAGATCGAGACGAGACGAGAGTTTGAACTAATTTACAATAATCAGATCAGTTCACAATTTTGGTCTCATGATTTTAAATTGGTTTAATTGGTTTAAATTGGTTGACAGAATGTAATAATTTTCATCATAGTCAGTGATGCATGTGGGAAACTGGTGTTTAAAGCATGAAAAGAATGTTACAGTGTTCTCAATATAGGCCTACAATTAGGGACGGGCATTCGATGAAATTTTCTTAATCGATCGTCGGAAGAATTAACGATCGATTAATCATTAACGTTTTTATATTAAAATGATCATCATTATTATTACTATCTACACTACTAATCTGCATAAATAAATTCAACTTTACGACATATAAACCGTAACGACTCTAGAGCCACATCAGCCTGTTTGACATTATAATGTGTTTAATTCAGTTTTGTGCAAATCTCACAGAAACAAAACTTAAAACCGTATGACTAATTTGCATAAATTCAGTGAAGATAAAACTCCAGCTCTTGTGTCGCTGATGTGGTTCAATTTCTGTTGGATTAAAAGACATGACTCAGGTGAATACAGGTCAGTGTGACCAGATTTGCGTTTGTCAAAACCAGGACAGCGTACGGGGGGAGGGGGGCGGGGCCTCGTCATCCACATTGAGCGACTCTCACCTGGTAAAACTTTTTCCCACTGGACACAGAAACATATGTGCTGCTTTATCCACTGTGCACATGGACTCACACTTGTCCCAACGCAACGGAAAGTGTGAAATTTCTTGTACAAATCATCGTTAAATCCACATTTGTGCTTCGGTTCGTTACAGACTGACCCACTGTTTGTGTCTCGCTCCTTCTGATGCAGAGACACATGTACACACCTGTTTGGTCACGATACACACAGCAACATACATTCGATTTGTCGATTAAAATAAACGTAATCGATGAAATTCTTAATGATCAATTATCGATTAATCGACTAATCATGCCCATCCCTACCTACAATATGTTGTTTAACTTCATTTTTAAATGATTAGACAAATCTGTATCTTCTCCTCTGAGCAGCTCCAGCTCCTCCCCCCCCCCCGTCCTCCACTGCTGCTTGTGTTCTACAGGCTCAGTGCAGATGGACAGAGACAGACGAGGAGCGTCTCTGTCGCTTCTTACTCACTTAACAAAGTTATTATGGATGAAAAAGGCCTAAATGCCTCTTTGAGGATCTTTTCCAAACCATGCAGTGTGGAAGACATCTGTCTGTGGGTGAATGGGAAAGCATAAAAGCTGTGAGGCATATTTTTTTAGAATGAATTACCCGAAATTTACACCAGGAGCATCAGTGACAGATAATGTCGACAGAGCTGCATAATTTACACCAGAGGCAGCGCACACTACACTAATCTTTTTACATTGTTTATGTATTTATTGTCGATTGGATGAATTCTGTTTTAAACCACAAAGCAAAGAGAAAAGATGCTTTGCAACGATAATGAGTCGTATCTTTGGTGCTCATATTAATCAAGCAATTCAGCATTTCATTTTGGTCTTCTGCTTCCTTCAGAAGTTCTTCTTGTAAAGTTTCTGTCTGATGTCGTAAAGTGTTTTATTTTTATCC